GTAAAATTTTTTGCTTTTTTTTTTTTTTTTGGATAATAATAAAACTTTGGAGAAAAACCTGAAAAGGTCCAGCTTTGTGGATGGTGGCGGGGGGGTGGAGATGTTTTGAAACTCTAAAGTTGATGTAAATACTTTGCAATTTGATAATTAAATACAAACAGACCTCACAAAAAAAAAAAAGTGTGGCTCATATATGAGCAGATTGCTCAGCACCACTGTTCCAGGAGCTGGTGGATCCAGCGCTGCACAGCTCCCAGTGTTTCGGGGGCTTCTTCCGTCGCATGCTCCTGGGATCTGGTGCCACTTCTGTCCTGCTGAGGCCATTCCCTTCTCCCCCCGGGGCTCGTGGTCCAGCGCCGGCTCCTGCACGAGGAGCCCCATCCATCCATCCATCATGTCCCTCCTGCTCCGAGGGCCAGGGACCAGGGACAGCCAGCTGGCACTGCTCCCTGCTACATCCATCGGTGCTCCCCAGCCTCTGCGCACTGGGACACCCGGGTCCCTGCCCACACGCAGGAGCACTGGCTGGGGGCTGTGAGTGACACGGTGACCCCAGTGTGCCCATCAGTCCGGCCACAGCCAGGGCCAGCGGGGCTGCCCCGAGCCCAGCAGGCAGGAGACCTGGCTGCCAGCCCCTCCCCAGCGGCTGGGTTGGGGGGGAACAGGATGGGAGCAGCCCTGCCTTCAGCAGAGTGCTTCATCAGCGACTGCAAGAAGCAGGCCTGCTTCATTAGGGTAATTAGTGGTGCTGATTGGGATCCCTCACTGGGTGATTAAGTAATTGATATATAGCGCAGCATGGCTGCAGTGGCTAAAACTCTGCCGTGGGGGCAATCTGTGGGGGCTTCAGTGCCCCCAGCCCCAGGTCTGGCTGCTCCCTCCTGCTTGGGCTGGTAAGCGACTCTGTCTTATCCCCTTAAATATTTAATGCTTTATGTTTTGCTTCTCTGTAAAGCAATTAAGTGATTGGGGGATTATCTCTCATCAGTGAGTCTCTTGGTCCCTGTGCGTGGGCTGAGGGTCACCCCCAGGAGGGGAGCTTTGCTGCATGGGGAGGAGGCGGCAGGGTGCTGTGGTCCATCCCAAACCCCAGGGCAGTGCATGTGTCTCTGGTGGGTTGTGCCCAGGGGGTGAGGGGGCAGGTTCTGTACTTTTGAGCTCTGCCGATGGCACCGCTCGCTTTCTCCTTACTCTGTCCCCTTTGCTCTGTGTCTGGTCCTCAGCCCTGGTGGCAGCTGAGGCTTGGTGGCAGCTGAGGCATCTTAAAAAGATGGTGGGGGCAGGTGGCAGCACCCACAGCCCACCCTGGCCGTGGCTGTTTTGCCAGAGTCACCCCCTCAGTGACACCCCTCCCAAGTCCTTTGCAGAGGCCAGCTGTGGGAAGGGGTGATGCTCACCTGGAGGAACAGGGGCTGGGCCAGGAGGTGTGAGATGGGAATTGCTGCTGGGATCTGCTCTGATCCGCAGGAACCCCTGCCAGGCGTCCCCAGCCTGAGCCGGGCAGATGTGCCGGGGGATTACACTGTGTGCTGCCCCTGTCATCCCCCAAAGCAGCAGGTCTGGGTTGCACCCAAGCCATCCATCCTCCCTTGCCCTGCTACCAGAGGATTTGCCTTTGCTTGGAGGAGCAGCAACACCCTCTCGCCAAGGGTTAATCTCCTGGCTCCCAAGGGAAGGGCTGGAGTCCTCACCTGACTGCGGCTCACCTCCCACGGGCATCAGGGCTTGGAAACTGCTCAGTGCAAGGGGCAAGAGACAGATGAGAGCAAAGGGTGCTGGCAGGGC